ATGGTGTCTTGTAATTGGTGATTTCTTTCAGACTTTTCCACACTGATGCTGAGTCACTGGAAGAGAATTTAATTCTTATTTTTTTAGAATAATTCCTCTTTGCCACTCTGATGTCCTTTTCCAGTGTGTATTTAGCCTGTTTATGACAAGACATTGTCCCCCTTCTTGTAAGCATCTTCTTTGGCCTGACGGAACTGTCTGAGTTTTGCAGTGAACCATGGTTTGTCATTGTTGTAAGTTAAATGAGTCCTGGTAGGAATGCACATATCCTCACAGAAACGAATGTATGAGCTCAGAAAACTAATCCGTGAGCTCGTCCAGATCGGTGGCAGCAGCTTCAAAAACACTCCAATCAGGGCAGCGGAGCTCACGTGTGCTTGCGGAGGAATGTAAATACTAGAGCCCGACCGATATGGGTTTTCTGGGGCCGATACCGATATTAGGGACTAAAAAAAAAGGCCGATACCGATATATCGGCCGATATTCTTTGTGTATATTATAGTACAGTACCATATAGTACTGGTACTATATATAGAATACAGTATAGACATAAACAGAATATATATACATAAACACATTTCTGAACAGCGCCGCTGCTCCCCTGACTACAATGTCCAGCAAAAGATCAGAATAATCGAAAACCAGTGAAATATCGGGTGGTGTGCACTGCCAAATGTCCAGCAATTCGTCTCTGGTGAAACTGATTGCAGGGATATAACTAAAGACAGGACAAACTAACAAAAACATAAAAACAACTGCGGAGCACGCCACGGAGGCAGCCATCACTGTCGGCGCCATCTCAAAACTAATTAAAGGGTTAGGTCACCCAAAAATGAAACGACATGAGGGTGAGTAATTAATGACAGAGATTAATTAAAATTTAATTCAAGTACAATTTACATTTGTCCACAAAAGGTTGAGCTTCTTTAGGAGTATGCAATAATCAAAAATAACGTGCATGTAACTTTACTACTGTAGATGAGCTACTCATGCACATGTTCCTTTAGCACTAGCCGTCTGAATGTGCATGTTTGAATACTGTAGGGAATATTTTATGCAACTATGTGCATTCTGCAAGTTAAAATCATTTATGACAACAACAGCAAAGATATCTGGTCTTACCTTGGCAAATACTTTCATAGTGTAGCCCAGATACTGCACACGAGGGTCTATAGCAGCATATGTGGCCAGCATCCGGGTGTTGTGTTGGGCCTGACACACAAAAACAACATTCAAATAAAATAAATCAATGTAAATAAATAATAATAATAATAATAAAACGGACAATTTTTCATATAGACACATAATAGAATGTAATATAATATAATATAATATAATATAATGTAATATAATCAGGGGTACACATAAGTGGTGCATGCGCGACCAAAATAAAAATTGTGCTGTGTAAATAACTTAAGACCACTCATTTGCAACATGGTTGACAGCTGTTAATGCACAATTACCATTTTAGATCGACTAACTGTAATAGTGTATAAGATTTATATTCGAACTGAAAGCATAAATCTAGGCTATCCGCTGCCGTTTTCAAAGCACAATGCAAAACTATGACATTTCATTCACTGAAGCTCTCCAATCGGCAGCGCATATACTTACTTGCCGGCAACCCGCCAAAATAAAAGCTTGCTGATTTTAAGTTAGAAATTTATGAAAATTCATATAAAAAAAAAAGAAGAAGTAAATGTTAGTATTTTATTTTTAAGTTTACTATAAAATAATAATATTTGTATTTAATACTCCCTTTTTATTTTAAAATATAATAGTATTATCACAGTTTATTAATTTTTTATTTTTTTTTTAATAAATAAATGAAGTGCAATAATATTATCATCACTATTATTAATTTATTTTTTGCAGTTACATTTAATGGGTCACATTGTGCAGTGTGGGGACCAAAACAAATCTCCAGGTGCTCTTATGAGAACCAGGCTGAAAAACTAATGTGCACCCCTAAATATAATATAATCAGGGATTGAAATTAACTTTTTCACTCACCAGCCAATTTGGCTACTAAATTTTTAAGTTACCGGCCATTCATAACTTGGAAATACACCAACAGTTTGAGGCCGTCTACACTGGGTGTGACAAAACGACCGTTGCAAATCATTTTGTCAGTACTAGGGGTGTGCGATATTGACAAAAAATAATATCTCAATATTTTCTGTGATTTTATCGATAAAGATAATTAGACGATATTTTGCTGAGTGTGTTATTGCGCTGATATCTTAAGGACTACCGTGGACAGCTGACTCCTAAAGTTTTTGATATTCTTCATATTCTGTGTGGTCAGTTCACAGCAGTGATAGAAATTAATCTTTTCCAATAATTTTAAACTCATTTTTAACTTTTATGGGCATTCTTACCTTTATAAAGCCATTTTTTTCTAAAAGTGTACATCATCTTTTGAGTCAAATTCTTACATTTAATCAGTCAATTATAATAATAATACATTTAGGCTGTTACTAAACAAATTAAATCAGTA